CCTGGTAGATGGTTACCAGCAGAAAACTTTGGTAACCACGTCATAAGCCAGAAGACCATGACTGAATTTTACATAAAAACTGATACCAGGCATAATGTTACATTGCAGCATCCTGTTGCACTGCTTAGATCTGACTTTGCGTTTTGCTTTGATGCCGTCTGCGTGCAACATCAGTTCACATTCTCTCACAGTTTTCTCTTTGTCATCACTACATGTTTCGGCCTAACTGACCATCTTCAGGTGTACAGGTTGTTGTGATCAAGGAACCTGCTGCTCACTGTAATGCTGTTCTGTTTCTGTTATGCAGAGGCCTTGGACTGCATCTGGTTATGTGGATTAACCATCCGTTTTCTGTTTAGGTGTCCTTGAGCTAGGCATATTTGTTGTACTGTGGTTGGCCACCAACACAACAAATTTTCGCCCTAGCAAGAACATTCAAGACAGCCACAGCCAAACAAAACCATGAAGCAAACACCAGCGGCTCAAGGACAATTAAATAAGAAAAACAGATGACTATCCCACATAACCAGATGCAATCCGAGGCCTCCACATAACGGAAACAAAACAGCATTACAGTGGGCAGCAGATTCTACGATCACAACAACCTGTACACCTGAAGATGGCAGGTTGGGCCGAAACATGTAGTGTCGATAAAGAAAAGCAAGTGAATAGTAACCAATGTTGCACATTGACAGCATCAAAGCAAGACACAAAGTCGGATGATATCATGCATATGTGTTACCCTCCTGCATAGTGGCCTCCGTAGTCTAGACGTTCCCACCTCACGACTCAAGGTACGCGGGTTCAAACCTGGTGGAGGTCGTGGAATTTTTAAGGGCAGAAAAATTCAGGGAACAAGTCCACCAGGAGGGACTTTAAGCTGTGTCCCATGTCGTACATTTACGGCACGTAAAAGATCCTCATGTCTCTAGGAGACCGCTGAGCAAAATTAGGCATAGCTTCCCGCCCAAGTAGTTTCCAATTACTCCGGTAGACGGAGAAGTATTGGGGACCACTGCCAGAGAGGGCTGACCTCGCTGGCAGATTGGGGCTGATAGTGAGCACCAGTACTGGAAGGGCATGGCGACTGGTAGAATAATTAAAGGGGGACGCACAACAGATTAACAACTAGTCGCAGTACATGGAGAAACCCACCCCCTCCAAAATAATAATAATAATAAGTGTTCAGCTGTGGAGTGCTAACCAGCAGACAATGGAAGCTGAGGAAGTGACAGATTCATAAATCAGAACCAAGTCAGCCACAGTAGGA